CTCTCTCCTCGCTCTCTCTCTCTACTATCTCTCTCTCACTCTCTCTCTCATCTCTCTCTCTCTCTCTCTCTCTCTCTCTCTCTCTCTCCGCCATTCCTCTCGCCCCCCTCTCCCATGGTGCTTGCTGTGTACGCCGATCCCGAGACCCTTGGTCGGGGGAGTCCACTGCATCTCACCAGCGCAGCTCATGTAGCGCCTACACACCCATTGTTGTCTTTTTTGTTTCGTCTTCGTTTTGTCTCCCCCTTCTTCCGTAGGTATGTGCAATGTGATAAAAAAAAAAAAAAAAAAAAAAAATACCGTACATATCGTACATACCGTAGATACACATCATGGCAGTGCATTATAGTACAAATGCGGCACTGTCTCACTGTGAAAACTAGAATCATCACCACCAGTTTAGTTTATGTATGTAATGAGAATTCATGTAGGTTAGGAGTTCCTACTGCATTAAAGGCTTGGCTGAGTCTTTGCATGGAAACACATATGAAGAGGAGAAGTTCAATTGGAATGAGTTTAAAATTTGAAGATTCATGCTGAAGCTATCATCGGCCAACTAGTAATGAGTGTCTTTGGGTGATGCACGGCGCTAAATGGTTGGTGGTGAAGATAAGAGTGGGTGTCACGCCACATGCAACACCCTTAACGTGTGGGCTTGCAATCCTCAGGGTGCGCGAGAAAAAAATTATATTTATCACCGACAGCTTGCAGTGCTGGATAACTTATCTTTCAAGTCACACCCCAGGCTTGCATGGAAGGATAGACTATGCATGTGCTTTGCGTTGCTCACCCGAGTTAAATGCACATGTATTTCAAAAATACTAGCATTCCACCTACTGAATATCTACCATACAGCAACAGTAGCAACGCAAGCAAGCAGTATCAACAGTAGCCTTTGACACTCGGTATCCTACACCAACTTTCTACGCATACATGTAATTATTATTCTTGTACCGGTCCTGAATGGGACTCACAACGGCAGAATTGACTGTGAGCATGTGTGTGCGATAGTGGGTCCGGCAAAACAAAATGAAAAAGAGATTCTAGTACAAGTATTAAAGGTCAAATTTCAGAAGTAACAGTTCATTTCCACACCCAGTGTATCATGGTGTATGGCGTATAGCTTACCTGGGTGACACCATGTTTGTGTATAGTTGTCATGGCACCGCGTACACTCTGCAGCCGCTTCGTCAGCGCAATGTGATTCTGCTGCAGTGTGATGGGCTGTGCGGGAGGTGCAGTCG